GGGAATAAGGGCGGCATTTGAGGTAATCCAGCACAGAGAAATGTTTGGAGTTATATAGACCTGGGTTCCTATCCAGGCTCTGGTGTTAACAGTCTGAGTGACTTAATTTAATATCTCTGAGATTTAGTCTTACCTGTAAAGAGTGGATGACAGTAAGGTCATGTATATTGCTATCTAGTATTCTACCCAGCAGTGGCATACCAAGCTGGGGGAGTAGTGCAGACTTGTAAGGGGGTGTGTGGTCTGTAAAGAATTTAAAAGCAGTAAGAAAACCACCTAAGTGTCCATCTGCTTTTTATCATCATTATGCACCTGCAGGTCTAAGCAGTATCAGTGATAAAATGCATCTCCTTGCCTCCTTTTCCTCCTGTATACTATGCTGCCTAGCAATTATAGGAATTTATAATAAATAGTAATTATAATCAATCTTTAATCAAGTTAAGCAGGTAGTAAGAGGTTGGAATTTGGAACTTGAGTGCGATTTGGGACTTTTGTTGCAGGTTCGTTCTCTGTGCAGTTTGTTTCTTCCTTATTCCTGGTATGCAAAGCTCACCGTAAAAGTAGAGACATGTCCAGGGTTCCAGGGAACCAGCCACACAGAGGTCTGTTCCTCTCTGGGAGCCATCTGTAAACAGCCACTCCTCTCTATTTCTTTAAAGTTTGAGGTTTTCTTCCTTCTTTTTTACCTACTATTTAATTCTGATATGTCATAGGCATATTTTCTTCCACTGTATTCTTCAACTTAATCCTAGATCACGTACCTCATCTAAGCCAGCCTTATTTATCAAGGCCAAAACAAATCCTCTTAAACATCCCATGCCTTATATAAATTAGCTTCCCAAACACATATTCTAACTTATAGAGCCCTTTATTAATGCTTTTTGTAGATAGTTACTTTGTATTTTTATAGAATCTGATTTGGACTTTGTCTCTATACTTTCTCCAACTTACCTGTCTCTGAGCTGCTTTTTACTTTGTAAAAATGAGTCATAAGTATCATGTTTGTCTGCTGTGGCCTGTCTTCTGTACTTTGGATGGGCTACTGATTTGAGGACAAATATAATAATCCTGGAAGCATTCATGCACTTTTCAGACAGTGCTTAAGAGCCCAAGCCCTTGAGTTAAAATGCTTCCTGCTACCACTGCTTAGCTGTGCTACATTAGCCATGTCCAACGTGTGGGTGTGTGTTGGTTTGGTTTATACTAACTACCAAGCAACTCTCCAATACCAGCTGGTTCCCTACAGTTTAACTCATTTCTGATACTGTCTACCTGGAGATAGTATCAGATCACTCCGGTTAGGAGCTCAGTCCTTAACGGCTGGACCACCAAGGAAGTCAAAAGCTCAGTCCTGTAAACAACCCTGCTGCCCTTCAGCCCCAACAGCTACTTCAGACACCAGTTGCAAATCCAGGTTGTCACCTGTGCTTTTGACTAATTGTCGATTAGAAGTTCCAAGGGGCTTCCCGGGTGGCTCAGACAGGAAAGAGTCTGCCTGCATTGAAGGAGGACTGGGTTCGATCCCTGGGTCAGGAAGATCCCTTCGAGAAGGAAATGGCAGTCCACTCCAGTATTCTTGCCTGGAGAGTTCCATGGACAGAGGAACCTGGCAGTCCATAGGGTCGCAGAGTCAGACACGACTGAGCGACTAACATTTCAGAAGTTCCAAACCCCTTTTCCTTGGTTTCAATTAATTTGCTAAAGTGACTCACAGAACTCAGAGAAACATTTTACTCACTAGATTACTGGTTTATTATAAAACGGTATAATTCAGAAAACAGCCAGATAAGAGGTGCAGGGGGCAAGGTCCATGGAGTGGGATGCACAGCTTCCACTTCCTCTCCTGGCATGCCACTCCCCCCAGACCTCCATGCGTCCCAACACAGACGCTCTCTGAGCCCTGTCCTTTTGGGTATCCCATTACACTGCCTGGCTGTGATTAAATCTTCATCCATTGATATCAGTTCAGCCTCCAGCCCCTTCCCCCTCCCTGGCGGTCAGGGAGGTGGGACTGAAAGTTCCAACCCTCCAGTCATATGTTTGGTTCTCCGGCTAACCAGCCTGCTCCCTTAGGTGCTTCCCAAAAATCTCTTCATTAACAGAAACTCAGGTGTTAGTTAAAAGAGGTTTGTTATGGATATCATGATATTTTTATTACTTTTATTACTTAGAAAATTCCAAGGGGTTTTAGGACTTCTGTGCCAGACAGAAGGATCAAGACTATATCTTTCTGACATACAATAAATACATATAAATTATAGAATCGCAGCAGTTTACCTAACCTCTCTGAGTATTGGGTTTTCTTGTGGGTTTTTTGGCTGGGGGGAGGGGAGAGTTGTTTCTTTGTTTTGTTTTGTTTTGTTTTTTCCTTTTTTTTTGGTCACACTGCTCAGCTTGCAGATTCTTAGTTCCCTGAACAGGGACCAAACCCACACCCCCTGTGTTGGAAGTACAGAGTTTTAACCACTGGACCTCCAGGGAAGTTTTTCTTATCCATGAAATAAGTAATGTTACCTGTTTCTTAAACAAGATAATGGATGTAGAATGCTGTAAAATTTCTAAGGCTGCTGTAACAAATTACCATAAACTTAGTGGCTTAAAACAACACAAACGTATTATATTCTAATTCTGTAGGTCGGAAGTCTGACCTGGGTCTCACAAGCCTAATGTCTTGATAGGGCTTTGTTTCTTCTGGAGGCTGTAGAGTAGAATCTGTTTTCTTGCACTTCCCAGTTTCTAGCATTTCTTGGTTAGAAGAAACCTTCCATCTTCAGAACCAGCAGTTGTCAGTCAAGGCTGTTTCACACTTACATCTCTCTCCTCTCTGCAGCCAGGAAAGGTTCTCTGATTTTAAGGACTCTTGTGATTGTATTGGGCTACCCTGGATAAAGATAATCTCCCTATCGCAAGGATTTTAACCTTAACCACATCCGCAGAGTCCCTTTGCCATCTACTGTAATGTATTCATGGATTTCAGAAGACCAGGACATTGACATTTGTAAGAGGGCCGTTGTTCTGCCCACCACAGTTGCAAGGTACTATGCCTAGCTCTTTGTAAGCCCCTGGTAAGTGATGAACATTGAAAGCCCTCAGCACTCTGGGAAACTGCAAGCTGAAGATGTAACCCCTGGGCACAAGTAATTTAAAGCCTGGTGGGAAAATGAGAGGGGTGAGGACAGAAATGAATCTGATTCAGGAAGAGTGACCAGAGCCGTGTATGGGATTTCAACCTAGTGCCATGGGAAAATGAGAGGCCACAGGTCAGCCAGTGGTCTGGCAAGTTGGACAGAGTGAATGTGTTAATAATGTATTGAAGTGCAGAACCTACAAAGACATGAGGTTCAACCCACATGAGAATTTTTATAGGACACGGGGTGAGAGGGAAGGAAAAGGCAGAGGAAAAGCCTCTGCTGACGAGAGAGTCAGGGGTTTGTTCATGTCTCTCAAGTCTTCCCACAAGCTCCACTGGACCCACTTGTTCACTGTGCAGCAGATACGTGCTGAGCACTGTTCCTGGCCTCGGCGATACAGTGAGCATGGTCACAGAGGCCACTCACCCCAACTCAGTCTGGTGAAACAGACAGCCATGTCAACACAGAGCGGTGATACAGCCTGACAGTAGGAGCCCACAGAAAGGGTGTGCCTCCTTCCCAGGCTTACGGGGTGGGAACGGCTTCCTGAGGGAAATGCCCACGAACTGAGACCTGAAGAATGAGTTGGTCAGGATGCTCTGAGCCACAGGTAACAGCCCAGCACATTGGTGACCTTAAACCAGTGAGCAGACTGGCTCCTGACTGGAGCCCAGGAGTCGAGTAGGCATCAGGGTGGGTGACTCTGGTCATTCTGGCTCCATCTTTCTGTGATTCCTTTGGCTGGGCTTTCCTCTCCATGTTTATTTCACTGTCAGGCTGGCCACCCTCATGGTCACAGTTCTCAGAGTCACATCAGGACACTCAGCGTCCACAGGAAGAAAGGTGTCCCTTTTGTAGACTCTTTTCTGAAAAGGAGAAAACTTCTTTTCTACACGCTCTCAACTCCTGGCCCCCTTGCATCCAGTTGGGGTTACAGGCTCATTTCTGAGCCAGTCCCTATGTCTGGGTGAATGCCATGTCCAATTTGGCTTAGATCTAAGTTCCTGAACCCACCATTGTGGAAAGGACAATGAACTTACACTTCCTGAAATACATGGTCTTATTTTGGGCTGGACAGATGATGAAATGAAAATCAAGATCCCATTAGGAATGAAGGAAAGAAGAACAGAATGTAGGAATGGAAGTGACTTTTTCTCTTCTTCTCCCATGTAAGACTTGTTTCTGCTACTTCATACCTTCTGCTTTTCATGGTTTCTGTTTCCTCATAATTCTAGCTTGCCATGACTTCTCTCTGTGAATGCTTTCAACTTCAGCATTTGTCATTAAGTGCCTCACTTCTCCATGTTTCTCAATTCACACCCCTGTGCTTAATTTACCTTACTTTACACGTACTTGAAGTAAGCTCCAGAAGACCAGGGACTTTGTTATACCCCCAGCATCTGAGCAGTACCTGGCATGCAGTGAGTGCTGGATAAATATGTACCAGATGAATGCAAGATCAAGCTTCTAGCTAACTGGCTGCCTTTCAGTCAGTTGGGCTCCTCTGTCCAGATTTTCTGTGGCTGAGGGGCTGTCCCTGGTAGCGACTGTTAATAGATACCCCTCTAGTGGTAGGAGCAGAAATTTGTTTGGATATACTTCCACTATTACCTGAACTTCGGTTTACTTTTCTGCAAAATAAAATCAATAGAATCTTCCTTTTGTGGCTCAGAGGGGTTCAGTATCAAGTGGAATTATGCGTATGAAAGTGCCTTATATATTGTGAACCACAAGGTGGTTTGATTCAGTCCTGGTCACATACACCTAGAAAACACTGATGATGGAAAGGCTATTTTATCTGTTCACTTCTACTTCTTGACATTGAGTTCTCCAGGAGAGCTTCTAATTGGCTCCCTTCTTGTCCCCCAGGGTCACTCAGGATGTGTCAACTGTCTGGAGTGGAACGAGAAAGGAGAGTAAGTATGAGGTCCGGCACCTATGGGTGCTGGAGAAGGATGTGGAGAGGTTGGGAGGAGGGGGTTTTCCTTCCTCTTTGTAGATCTAAGGACACGAGTGGCCCCAAAAGAGAAGTTGGGTCCTCTGCTCTCTGCTGTGTTGCTGTTCTCTGCTGTGTCCTTAAGTTTCATTCATCATCAGCAGCATAAAGTTAAATAATAAATCCCAGATAGATGGAAGGTTGGATGACCTTCCAGACTCTGTTTTTTTGATAAGCTAATGCATTTAAGGAACAATGAGAAATCCTCAGAACAAAATAAAAGAGAATCAATCACTGTTTATAAGATAACCTTATATTCTGTGACACTTACTGTTGTTCTTAAAGTTGTGTGTGGCCTAAGTCCTTTTCACCTGGGACACACAGGATAGCGGAACTTGAGGAGAGGTCAAAACTGTTCCCTGTCTCTGCTTGCAGCTTGCTGGCCTCTGGTTCTGACGACCAGCACACGATTGTGTGGGACCCGCTGCACCACAAGAAGCTGCTTTCCATGCACACAGGACACACTGCAAATATCTTTTCTGTCAAGGTGAGCAGGGGAGGCCGCAGAGCAGACGAACCGTGTGACTGGGTTGTGTGTGTGGTCGTGTTTGCATGTGTGTCTCCCACCTACTCTGGGGGTCACAGACGTCTTTGTGATCTGAGCATCTGCTGGTGATTTCTAAAACTCTCTGTCTCTTTTCCATGCGCTAATTCCTCTCTCAGAGCCAAGAGGTCAGCTCCAAATGAATGTATACGCATGTGAGTGGTGATGATATAAGGTATGGTTCTGAGTATGAACTTTGATAGCGTAGCAGGCAGACCCATGTTTGACTCCCTTATTTGCCTCTTGGAAGCTGTGTGAGCTGGGCAAATCGCCTGACCTCTCTGAGCCTATTTACCCATCTATAAAAAGGAAGTAGCTAAGGAAAATTCCTCAAATTCATGAGTAAATAACTTAACTAAAAAGGGAAGTAGCAATCCACAGGGTTGGTGTTACAGTTTAAGGAGATGGTTGATTTAAAAAAAGCACCTGGCACAGGTGATTGTAGGAAATGAGTCTGCTGTTTGTTGGTGGAGGGGAGTTGAGGAGAGGGGAGGGAGGGGACTTAAAAATGTCTTCAGATTTCTGAAAGTGAAAATGTCCAACTTTTTGCGACCCCATGAACTGTATAGTCCACCAGCCCCCTCTGTCCATGGGATTCTCCAAACAAGGATACTGGAATGGGTAGCCATTCCCGTCTCCAGGGGATCTTCCCGACCCAGGGATCGAACCTGGGTCTTCCACCTTGTGGGCAGATTCTTTATGGTCTGAACCACTGGTGAGGCCTCTCTTCAGACCTCGGGAGACCTGTTATGTGAAAGTAACGTGAGGCTTGACCCTTTTGGTTCCAAAGAACAGACCTTGGATTACTGACTATGAGTTTTCCAGAAGCAGATGTAGGCCTGATGAAGGAAAGAACTGTCTAATGCTTAGAGGTATTTGAAAAAGGCAAAATGGGCCTTCTGAGGATGTAGTCAGTGTCCCAGCACTGAGGTATTCCTCACTGGGAACTTAAAGGAAATGACCTTTAAGGACGTTTCCAGTTCTGAAATTCTATAATGGTGTATGTGAGAGTGAAGCTGTCCTTTGGAAAGCCTCACTAATCCAAGAAATCTTTTCCTGATTAATATCAAGAAGCCTGAAGAGGAAGACAGATTCAAGAGCTCAAAACCAACTTATTTCCCTAATCAGAACTTCTTTCCCAGCTGACTCTCATCTGCTGTTCCAAGGACCAAGCCTAGATTAATTTCTGTGATTTTTAATGACTGAGAAATGCTCATTCACCTCTTACATGATGACCAGAAACTGCTTTCGTCCCCTGAAAAGTGTTAGGTCTAGTTTAAATCTGCGGGGTCAGATGAGGAGAAGGGACCTAAGCTGTCAGTTTGGCATCATAGAACACAAAATGTCGAGTTCAGAGACCAGAATTGGACAGTGGCCTTGATATTTCCTAATACTAAGACCTTGGGCAAGACCCTCAGTCTCCTCTTGTATTATAAAAGGGTTCCTCTCCCTTCTGGTGATAAACCACAGATGTACCTAACCCACGAGCTCCCCCTCGTGGCATCTGTAATGCAGGACGAGTAGGGCGGCAGCCACAAGCTCTTCCTGAGGGCTCTTCTGTTTCTGATGCAAGTGGGGTGATGTTGTTTCCAGACAGGATTAAAGATTACTAGTTGTCCCTAAAAATGATCAAGTTCCATCTTTCATCTAGCCCTTATACTGGTGAGCTATCAGAGAAGTGGATGTGGAAAGAGTGAATTTTTAGCTCAAGCCAGGTGGAACTTTAGTATTTTTAGACTTTTAGTCTTAATCAAAATTATGTTTGTGGCTGTTTTGTCCTTGCCATATGTGATCTGGACCATTTTGTTCTCAGCTTCATTGGAATGATAGGGTTCTCCTTCTGAATGATGGCCACATAGAGCTGTAGCCTTCTGATGCTCAGCCCTTCCCCAGGGTCTGACTTGTGAGCCATTTCCAGCGCTGCCCTTATAAGGAGTGCTACTTGGAGCATCTGTGCACGGGTCCCTTTTTTCTTTTAGAATTACTTCTCAGAAGTGGTAGCTTTGGATCAAAAGATAGAAATAGTTTTTGTGTTACCTGTTGCCAGATTGTTCTCCAGAAATATTCAAACCAATTTAAAACACCCACTCTCTTAAAACACTGAGGGACTTGTGTCTTAAGACTAATTTATTACTTAACCCCCAGGTTATTAAATAGTCATCATGAAGCATCTAGGAGTCAGACAGACTTGAATTTGAACCCAGTCCTGCTGAATGCTAGTGCCAAACCTCAATTTTATTTTATTTATTTATTTTAAACCTCAATTTTAATGAGATTTTTATATTATATTAATAAGATAAATCACATACTTGATGTCTAGCACATGGTAAATGCTCAATAAATGGTAACAACTGTGATTATCATCCATTCAGCTCTTGGCCTGGGGAAGAATCAGAAGAAGAGAGTTCCTTAGATAGTCCAGCTTGGCGTGGGTCAGAACCACTCTGGAAAATAAAGGTGTACACCCTGATTTTGACCTTTAGGCCTACAGGCTGATGCTCAAGATCTAAAGTTCTCTTGGTGGATTGTCTTGGATGGGCTCCTTTTCTTATCTGCTATGGAGAGGGGGGAAAAAGGATGCTAACATGCAGGCTAGTCTCCTTCAGTGGCCTACCCCCACCACCTGCCAACCTCCTCTTCAATCTCTCCCAAGCAGTTCCTGCCTCATGCTGGGGACCGCATCTTGATCACAGGGGCAGCTGACTCCAAGGTGCATGTCCACGACCTGACCGTGAAGGAGACGATCCACATGTTTGGAGACCACACAAACCGGGTGAAACGCATCGCCACGGCCCCCATGTGGCCCAACACGTTCTGGAGCGCTGCTGAGGACGGGCTTATCCGGTGAGGGCCTGAGGCAGGGCGTGGGGCCGGAGCCTCCCCTGCTCCCGCTCCTTGTGGGTTCCCCCTCCCATCTGCCCTCCTGCTTCCTCCCACGGACCTGGTGCCTTCCCTCCAACAGAGGTCCAGCCTCAATGGTCTGCCCAGCCCAGTTATCAGGGAACAAATACAGTGGGAGCATTTGCTTACCCTGTTCTTCACTTCCCTCACTTCTTACCCTCTCCTGAGCTACACAAGCCCGCTGGCTTCCTCACCGCCTCACACACACAGTCTGCCTCCTCTGGGCTTTCCCTGTGCTGTTTCCTCGACCTGGTTTTCTCAGTCCCGGCTCTCTCTCAACTCTCTCTTACCCTAAGGAGACTGCTTAAGAGTCACTTCCCGAGAAGCACCTTCCCTGGCCGTCCTCTCTACCACAGACCTCCCACCATTGCTTTTTTGTCTCCGTGCCCTCACTGTATCCTCTGTAGCGCAAATCACCATCTGGAGTTACTTTATTTATTTGATGGTTCACTCTTTTGTCTGCGTCCCTCACTGAGGAGTAAACTCTGTCAACGTTTTTGTCTGTCCTGTCCTTGGTTGTGTCCCTAGAGCCCAGCACAATGCCTGGCACACCGAGGCACATGACACATTTCCCTTGAACAGTCAGTCAGTGGACATATTCTTGGGAGGGGGATCACCAGCCAGAAATGGTTAAGTGGACTCCCCCTTTTCACTGACCTATATCATCACACCTTTGCCTCGACTTCCATTTTTCTTACAATGGTCTCATTGCCTTTGTTTAACTCCTTTCTTCAGATATAACCTGAGAACTTTTTCCCTCTCTCCACAATCTGCTTTAATTGCCTCCCTTGAGACCCCATGGGACTTTGTGCACGCTTCCTTTTTACAGAGGACAAGGGGTATCTCTGTCATGGATGAACCAGAACTCAGAACAGGTCGAGTCCGACCTCTGTCACTCAGTGTCCAGGCGAGTCACTTCACCCTCAGACCTGTTTCCTCATCTGTAACAAAAACCATATTTTAGGAAGAGCAATCTCGTGAGGATGGCTTAGAAAGATAAGCGAACAATGAAGAAATTATTGCAGGTGTTTAGGTGGGGGTGGGTGAGCACAGGGGTGATGCCTTGGCCATTTTCTGGATGTGCGTGCATCCTAGAAGCAAAACAGGTCCCTGGCAGAAGTGTGCTCGTGCTGGGTGGATGTTTTGGCCTGACCTTTACCATTGGCTCAGATGGTGAAGAATCTGCCTGCAATGCGGGAGACCTGGGTTCAATCCCTGCTTTAGGAAGATCTCCTGGAGAAGGGAACGGCTCCCCACTCCAGTATTCTAGCCTGGAGAATTCCATGGACAGAGGAGCCTGGTAGTCTACAGTCCTTGGGGTCACAAAGAGTTGCACACGACTGAGCGACTTTCACTTTCACTTTACCATCTGAATGGGACTCGGGCTTGTTCTGGGTGTTGGCGTTTCTGGGAAGCTCGTAGATGATCTCCAGATTCTCTTTTCTGTCACCTCTGTACTTCTTTTGTTTCCTACAAGAAACTAGGTTAAGGATAGAATTAAGAATTAGCATCAAGAAGCAGAGCAGAGTGGTTAAAACACAGTCTTCCCAGCTCTGCACCATCCCAGCACTGCACTTGCTGTGGTGTCATCCAGGCAAGTTATGGAACTTCTTTGAACTTCTAGTGGTACCTAGGGATGGTGTGAGAATTTAAGTAGATAATACCTGTGTAACACTTGGGAGCACTACTGGACACCAAGCAATGTCTCATGAAGTGTTAGTAGTCAGTAGTAATAGTACTTAGTGGCAATAATATTGATATCTGTTTAAAAAATTAAAGGGTTCAGTAGTATCTACCTTAGGGAGTTCTGTTAGAATAAAAAGAATGTATGAGAAGCCTCCTACGGGTGCTTGGCACACAGGGCACTCAAGATACGGGAGTGGTTTTTGACATTCTTACTTACAAACAGATCCAGAACCCCTCCCAGATCCTTGGCACTCCAGGCCTTGGCTTCTCCCCTGCCTTCTGCCCACGGACACAACCCCCAACCAGCTGTGTCCTCTCTCACAGCCAGTATGACCTTCGGGAGAACAGCAAACACTCGGAGGTGCTGATCGACCTGACAGAGTACTGTGGTCAGCTGGTGGAGGCCAAGTGCCTCACCGTCAACCCCCAGGACAACAACTGCCTGGCCGTGGGGGCCAGCGGGCCCTTTGTGAGGCTCTATGACATTCGCATGATCCACAACCACAGGTAGGAATATGTGGCAAGTCCCTGGGAACCTGCTACCCCCTACCCTCATTGCCAGGCCCTCATCTCTTTGAGGTGGGTTTTTTTTCATTCTTTGATTTTTTAAAATAATTCAATCCATGCTTGTTTTTATGAAAAGTGTATTAAATTATTTTTACTCCATTACCTGAAAGAAATCACTGTGTATATTATCTTCTGTACATACATAGTGTACATAGTTATCATCTTATACATGTAAATTCCTTTATTTGTACATAGAATTTTACTTTATTATTTTTTAAAAAATAAAGTATACTCAGAACCTCCACAGAAGGCCCAGACCTGTGCAGCTCCACCAGTCTGAGTTTTCAGTGGGCTCCTGGGACATGTATATGAATTTCTGGCCTGCATTACTTTCCTTTGTGGATTTGGACAACTGTTGTTACTCTTCACACACTACATGGCTTAGAGTGAGCCACGAGCTTTAGCTTCCTCATCTATGAAATGGGAGTAACAGGGTGGCCATGAACCAAAGACGGGAGGCAGGGCCACTGTGATGTGTCCACAGCTGTCTAGTTGATTGACTTTTGGGGGTGCTTAGGTCAGGAAGAAAGGTACCTCTTCCTCTTATCTCTCCAGGGACACAAATGGGTTTTTCCCGAGGAAGTGTAGTCTAGCCAGGAGTCCTGATCAGTATTATAACCTATTTTGTTTGCCTTGCCACCAGAAAAAGCATGAAGCAGAGCCCTTCAGCAGGCGTGCACACCTTCTGTGACCGACAGAAGCCCCTCCCAGATGGTGCGGCTCAGTATTACGTAGCAGGTAGGGTGCTGATTGTCTCTGGAGCGGTGCAAGGAGGCAGTGGCGACCGAGGTTGTACAGACCTGGATTTAATCCTGGTTACCATCCACCAGCTCTTACGTGACCTTTGGCAAATTTCTTACCCTGAAGGAATCTTAGTCTCTTTTCTGTAAAATGGGATTGTGATGACTCAGTGATATAGTGTATAAGAGTTGCCCCAGTAGGGGCCCCAGTAAGGGCTTAACACTTAGAGCTGCTTTTCTGAGGAAGATGATTGATCACTGGGAAGGCTGACTTCTCACCACTCCCTGCCCCTTTTGGGAGGGACTGGAAGCCTCAGACTCAGGTAACTCTGTTCCCTGCAGGTCACCTGCCAGTGAAGCTGCCTGACTACAACAACCGTCTGAGGGTGCTGGTTGCCACCTATGTCACCTTCAGCCCCAACGGCACAGAGCTGCTAGTCAACATGGGGGGAGAGCAGGTATGGCTGCCGCCCAAGGTGGCTCCTCCCCTCCCCTGCCCCCACATCTGGCAGCCAGGGCTGTGTCCGCCGCATCCACTACCGTGAGGCAGATAAGAAACCTCACTGTAAATGACGTTACCGTGAAATACAGAAATGCTATGGCACTGTTGGAATTCCCAGAGAACTACCCTGGCCTTGAGCGTAAGCCTTAGAACTGACAGACCTGTCTTCAGATGCTGGCCTTTTATTTATGAGCTGTGTGCTGTGACTTTGAACACCTGTCTTCATTTTCCTGAACCTTGGTTTCCTCATCTGCTGCTTTCCTAGGAGGAAATCCTGCAGCTCAGAGCCAGGGTGCAGTTCAGGGCCAGCTTTGGGAAGTGTTCTTTGATAATGGCCAGTTGCTAAACCTTCTGTTCTCAGTCAGGTTGTTTAATAACCCTTGCATAAATTCATTTACTCTCCAAACACTCACTGAGTACTTACTCTGGGAGTAGCATTATCATAAACATGAGGGAGACAGGTGCAAAATATGATCCATGCTAGGTTGACGGGAGAGACATAGCAAGTGAAACAAACCATTGATGACATTTAAAGGCAAGGTGTGATACAGGCGAAATGGGATGTGGAGACTGGGTGAGCCCCTGAGTTCAGAAGAGGGCTCTGGATTCAGATTGCTGAGCCATCGCCTGGCTTAAAGGTAGTATAAGGATAAGTGAAGAGACAGGCTAACAGAGTGGTTCAGAGCCAGACAGACTTGGTTTTGGGTGCTGGCTGTGCCACTTGCTGCTTTTATGGCCCTGGATAAATTAATTAAACTCTGAGCTGACATTTCTTCTTCTGGAAAGGTGGCTGATGATAATAGTACCTTTTTGTGGTACTAAAGATGGTACTCATTTTGTGGTACTCATTTCTAAGATGAAATGAGAAAAGTCATATAAAACACTTAACAGAGGAGCAAAGTTAGGATTCAATACATGTTAAGTAATAATAAATAATATTTACTGAGGGAAGTAACTAGCAATGTTACTTTGGGCAAATTGCTTCTCTTCTCTGAAAACTGAGGTTTCGGTTTTCCCATTTGTAACATGAAACCCCTGAGGCCCTTGTTGACCTAACACACATGTGATTCTAAGGAATGATAGTATTTCTAGCCGTCCACTCCAAGGGCTGGGCACTGGGAGGATTTTCCTGCCTGAGGTTTGCTCCATGAAGCACCCCGTCCTGGGTCACTTGGTGGATCCCTGCTCAACATTCAGCTACATTCCCGAGAGCTGCCCAGGCCTCACTCCTGGCCCGGCCACGTTCTTGCCTCACAGTGTCCGTCTTCTCTTGACCCCTGCACTCTAGGTCTATTTGTTTGACCTGACTTACAAGCAGCGGCCGTACACCTTCCTCTTGCCTAGAAAATGCCACTCCTCAGGGGGTAAGTTCTCCCTCCCCGGCTCCTTCAGGGCATCTCTGCTGGGGAACGTGAATGTGCGCTGCCTCTGCCGGGCAGCCTGCCCCTTACCTTGCGCTGTGGCTGTGATCCTCCAAGAAGGAGCAGGTTCTCTGAAATAGCACTGGAAGGGAATCCCAGGTCAGAGAGCACTGTAAAAACAGGTTTGCCTCGCGGCCCTTTTCACTTCCCTCAGAAAAAGCAGGTTCTTTCCGTGGTTTGGCTCTTGAGGACCTGAAGTAGTTGTGCCATCCCCTGCCATCCTAGACCAGTCTCCTCAGTGCTTCTTCCTGGGGCCCCTCCTCACCCCCCCACTTTTAGGCATCCCCACAGCCAGATAATGCCAAGTTGAAGCTATGTCCCTCTCCAGCCAGCAGAGGGCGCACAGGCTTGCTTTATGTGCTTGCCGGCCAGCCTGTCAGAACTTGCTTTCTGGGAGTGGACCTACCCTGGGAGGGATAACCCTGCTGTGGAGCCGTCAGATCCCCAGATGGAAGCTGGAGGGCTGCTGAGGAGAAGTGAGGACCTCCTCCTAAGTTGTTGCTGTTCCTTTCTCACCACCCCCTGCCAGAAGTTCAGAATGGCAAGATGTCCACCAACGGTGTGTCCAATGGCGTCTCCAATGGCCTGCATCTTCACAGCAATGGCTTCCGGCTGCCAGAGACTAGGGGGCATGTCAGGTAAAGCCAGCCTGACTTGGGGCACAGAGGCTTCTGGAATGTGGCTAGTGGTCCCCATGCCACCTCTGCCTGGTGGGACCCCAGTCGTGCTCCAGCTGAAGCTCTGGTCTCTTGGTGCCAGTAGCTGGGGTCAGGACCCAGGAGCTAGCTCCTCTTAGCCCTGGGCTCCCTCCTAAAGGGTCCTGCATAGACAGGCCTCCCCCGTTGTGTTTGCTCCATTCATAGCATCTTCACGCCTCTTTCACTGCCAGGCCCTGAGCTCAGCTTTGGATATAGAGGTGCCCAGGTCCTCTAACCCTTGAGAGAAACTTCTCTATAGAGAGATCCATGGGCGGGACTTGGGCGGTGACAAAGTTCGGCTCAGCATGGAGGCTGGAGGTGTCAGCTACTTACATGCCCAGTTTGGTGAAGAATTCCTTTAAACCTATCTGAGACAACTTCATTTCTGCCTCTCTTGGTTTTTTTCACTGGCACAGAGCATCTGGAATTGTGACCATTGACCTGCCACAGTTACTCAGGCCAAGGGTGGGAGTGGTGTCCCCTTTTAGATGACAGTGCAGACCTCAGGGACCAAGAAAACCTGAGAGGCCTCCAGGCAGGGTCACAGACATCCTGAGGGGCTGCTCTGCCCTTCCTTGGTTGGCCTGACACTCTGCTTCCCCCGCAGCCCCCAGGTAGAGCTGCCCCCATACCTGGAGCGGGTGAAACAGCAAGCCAATGAAGCTTTTGCCTGCCAGCAGTGGACCCAGGCCATTCAGCTTTACAGCAAGGCCGTGCAGAGGGCCCCTCACAATGCCATGCTCTACGGGAACCGAGCTGCTGCCTACATGAAGCGCAAGTGGTGAGTGAGCCTGATGGAACCAAGTTGCTGAGGCATCCAGGGACATTAGCAGTGGCATCCTGCTGCCCCTCAGGTCATGTTAGGCCCAGGCCTCTCATCAGCTCCTGGTTGGTGGTAGGCAGGTGCCTGACCTGTGAATCAGGAAGCCTCAAACACCAGGAAAGCTCACAGTTAAGTGGAACATGTTCACAAGTAGCTTCGGCGTGTTAGTGCTGTGGTTGCTGGAAGCAGGAATTGAGAGAGTGGTTAATCCCTGTCCTTGGAGAATGGGGCCTTGAATTTGACTTTTGAAGGAGCAGTAGAATCTTGCTAGATGGAAATGAGGCCCTGGTGAATTCAGTTGCTGTTTGAAGTAATTGTGCAGTGCCTTGACCTTGGGGTTTGCTGTCCTATGCTCTTGGACCCTTTGGACCAAGCACAAGCAGGATCCTAGACATCTGAAGCTGGCTGTGGGTCTTGCTGGGTGGTAGTGGCCAGTGGTAAGGGAGTAGGTCTATATCCTGAAGAACCCTTTATCTTTGGAGACCACCAGGGCCCCCAGCCCTTCTGCCTGCAGCACCAGCAGGCAAGCAGGCAGGCAGACCCCATCCCCCAGCCAGGGCCAGGATGGGAGATGGATAAAGCTGGGCCCACAGCCATTTCTGCTCCGTCTGGCATCCGTCGGCTCTGCCCAGACAGACAGGCCAGCTGGTGTGCCATCGTCTGGCTGCAACTCGGCAGGCCAGAGAGGGAAGCTTAAGAAACCCACCCAAGTCAGCAGGCTGGTGGATGGGGGTTTGGGAAGATGCTGCCCCCACAGGCCTTAGCTCAGACATCAGGAGTTGGCCAAGGGATCAGATGGCAGCCAACCCCAGGAGATGACAGTTGGGGGCCCTCCTGAGGTGTGTTGCCCCTCTTTTCCAGCAGGTGGGTAGGATGCAGTGGTCTTCACACAGGCTGTAGGCTGAGAGCGCTCTCACTCCTGCATTTTTGCTGAGAGAGACTGATGATTTCCCAATCCACGGTACCCTCAACATGTTCTCTGAATCCCTACTATGCACTGGTAACTAGAGACACAAAGTTCTGTCCCTCCGAGTTCCTGTGCTTCAGAGCACCCAGCCTCTGGACGGGGGATAAAGAGATGGGCATGGTCCATCACTGAAGAGGCAGGAAGCAGTGAGTCTTTGAAGGGTCAAGTGAAATGCCAGGGGCAGAGGAAAAGTCGGGTCACTGTACCTGGGGATCAGGGAGCTCCAGGAAGACGTGGTGTCTGCTTTCAGTGTGGGCAGGCTTAGACAGGAGAGGGAAGGGGGAGGGGCTGTGGGGGAGGGATATTCCCAGGGAGATGGAACGGTGTGAACAAAGGCGTGGGGGTGGCGGACTGACTGGAGAGCTTGTTTGCAGAACAACAAATCCATTTGGCTGGAGCAGAGGGCTCGAGAAGGGACTGGCAGGAGATGAGTCTGTGAGGTAGCCTGGGGCCAGCCTGGGAAGGACTTGGAATGCAGAGCGGTGGCGTTTTGGCCTCGATTCAGTGGATGATGGGCAGCTACTGAAGAGTTTCGAGCAGGAGAGGGAGGTGTTGAGGGCTGTCTTTTCAGGGAGATTGAGCTGGCAGCAAGTTCGGATGGGTGCGCCCTGGGGCCAGCCTGCTCTCTCCCCATCCCACGTGCCTGCCAGTGACCCTAGAATGTCACGTTCTGTCCCAGGCCAGTCTCCCCAGGGCAGCCATCTGCTCCTGGATGCTGTGGGAGCCGTCACCCTCTGGCTCCTGGCTGCTTTCTGGTCTGGCTCTCCCCGGGAGTTCTGAGGGGCACCTTGCAGGCGGTAATTGGGTTTCCGAACAGCGCCTGCTCCTCCGTCACAGCCACTCGTTCTGACGCAGGCCGCGCCATCGGAACACTCTGTCTCCTGCCTGCCTCCGCACTGCCGAGCCGCTTGTCCCTGGTCTGAGCAGGCTGCTCTGAGGACCAGTGCTCCCTCTGGGTGCTGTAGGAGAGAGGGTCAGGAGCACAGCTCCAGCGTCGGACCCACCCTGGCCCCCGTGCACAAGGGTTGTGAGCTGCGCCTTGGTGGGGAGGCCATCAGCTCTTGGGGGGGGCGGTGGGGGTGCTTCTTAACACAAGTGGGTCCTAGGCCCGCCTCACCCCAGCAGAGGGGAAAAAGGAGAAGCGGCTCCTGTGAGGCACCTGGCTCTCCAGTCGAGAGGTGGGGCATCTGTGGACCTGGGCAGATGTGTATTCTATACTCCGGCACAGGGTGGGAGGAAGAGGGGCTTCTTCTCTGACCCTCCGCCCCCCCCTCCCCAAACCATTCCCACTTCCCCACATCCGTGCTTCGGGAGTTTGGAGAAGTTAGTTGGACAATTTGGAGCTCCTGTGGCCTATACCCGCCCCCACCCCCGCCATCCGCTTCCAGAAAAGTGACTGCCAGACTGTTGGGCCCCATCCTCCAGCCCCGGGGGGTAGAGGCCACAGCTGCTGTGGATCAGTCAGCCAGGACAGAGGGGGGCCTGGCTGAGGACTTGCTGCCTGCCGGTCAGACCAAGCCTGACACTTCTGGCTTCCCTGGACCACAGAAGTGCCCTTGAGGGCCCCCTGCCTTAGGCCTGGCTTTGAAGGCCAGCCGGGGGGATCTGAGGAGGGAGGTGGGTGGAGGAAGGGAGAAGGAGGGCCTGGGGAGCCTGAGGCGGGCAAGATGCCAGGCCTTCTGCTGCAGAGCTGCGGGTGCCTGGGGTGAGCGGGCGCACAGTTGCACTGTGTCCACCAGAGGGCAGCCCGACACTGATTTTTGCCTCATGCCCACCTCCCACCCTCTACCTGCCAAGACCCCGGGCTTCCTGCCTTGCCTCCTAAACATACTCTGCCTCCTGGGGAGCAAGGCCTGGGCTGAGCCAGGATTCTTTCCATCCCCAAATACCTTTGCCCTGAGATCACTCAAAGGTGGGCTGGGGTGGCCACAGGATGCCACGAGACTGAATGGGGATGCCCTACCTGCCATGGGGCCCCACCTCCAAACCACACTGCCTGCCTTCCCAGGGATGGTGACCACTACGACGCCCTGAGGGACTGCCTCAAGGCCATCTCCCTAAATCCATGCCACCTGAAGGCGCACTTCCGCCTGGCCCGATGCCTCTTTGAGCTCAAGTACGTGGCTGAGGCCCTAGAGTGCCTGGATGATTTCAAAGGGAAGTTCCCAGAGCAGGCCCACAGCAGCGCCTGTGACGCACTGGGACGTGACATCACGGCCGCCCTCTTCTCCAAAAATGACGGTGGTGAGTAGAGTGCGCGCTGAGGAGGGGTTGCTGTCACTCTGCCTGTTGGAGGTGCCACGTGACATCCTGGAGAGGACAGAAGTTCTGAGGCTGCAGAGGCCTGGGCTCACCCTGACTGAGAACCACGTGACCTTGAGACAGTCACTTGGTCTCTTTGAGACAAGGGTTAGCAATAGCGTGTTTAAGGTGCCCAGTGTAGTTCCCCCGGGGCTCAGGATAGGAGTCATCCTCTCCTGTCATAGCCAGGGCTCTGGCCGTTCCGTTGGGATCTGAACTCCAGCTAGTTGGCTAGAATGCACTTGCTCCAGATTGCATGGGTGCAGAAGAGACAGCACCCAGGGCAGCAGAAAGGCCTCAGACACAGGTATGGAGCCTCAGTTCTGATCTCAGCTCTGCCGTGTGGACCCATGCGACCTTGGGCAGAGCACAGCCTCTCCGAACCTGCTGGCTTATCTGTACAGGGTGTTGAAGGGCCCGCCCTGTTCCCCTGGGTGGCGCTGGAGACTGAACCAGGTAACTGTGCGGGCTGCAACCATGAGAGGGGAGCTCACTGTGGGCAGACTGCAGCTTCCTCGTCTGCTCTGCAGTGCACTGGACCGTGGATTGATCATTTGTCTGGATAGTGCCAGTCACTGTGCTATGTCCTGGGAATACATCTGGGAGCACGTCAGATGAATTTCTATATTCATGAGTCTATAGCCTGGTGAAGGAATCGAGCGATGAAGGAGCAGCAAAGAAGGCCCTTGGAGACCTGACAGGGTGCAAGTGCTGGGGGAGGGCTGGAAGGCAGCCTGGGGTTCTTGAGGAAGAGACATTCAGGCGGAGATCTTGAAGCTGAGGAAGAGGTGACTAGGTACAAAGTGTCGCCAGAGGTAAAGCGTTCTGGCAGAGGGACCAGCACGTGCCAAGGCCCTGAGGCAGGCAGGAACAAGGCACTGAGAGAACTGGTATGACTTTACCAAGGCACTTAAGCAGTCCGCTGGGATCCAGGCTGACTTGTCTTCTGGAGCAGGAGGGCTTGGACTTGACTGCCTTCAAAGCCATGAATCTGTTTAGAAAAAGCACCTGCTCAAGGCTCTCTTGGCAGCGCTTTGCCCTCCCCGCCCCACTGCTCACCTCCACAGCAACAGACCTTAGGGCCGTGCATCCTCGGGCCTTCCAGACATTATTCAGGGACCTAAGCCAAGGCCCTCCTGGCATCAGCGGTCTCCTCTTGAACACCCTCAAGGGCAGGATGCACAGATGCCTCTTTTTCACAGTTGTTCCCAGTTTTCCAGGGTAGGGGGAGAGGGATAGCTCTTCATGGCTTACCACTTGGACAGAGAACAGGGTGAAGGGTGGGGAGGAAATGGGGAGTGGGGGAGAGATGGGCAGGACTCTCATGGTCCCTGTTCTCTGCCCCAGAGGAGAAGAAGGGAGCAGGTGGTGGCGGCGGCCCTGTCCGCCTCCGCAGCATGAGCCGCAAGGACTCCATCTCCGAGGACGAGATGGTGCTGCGGGAGCGAAGCTACGACTACCAGTTCCGCTACTGTGGCCACTGCAACACCACCACGGATATCAAGGAGGCCAATTTCTTTGGCAGGTCCGAGGCCCTGAAGAGGAGGAGGGCCCAGCCCAGTTGGCCACAGGAGGTTGGGGGTGGTGTGGGGACCTAGGCTTTCAGAAGTCTCAAATCGCAGCTCCGTGCCCTTGGGCAGATGGCTTCACCTCTGTGAGCCACCATCACCCCCAGCCCTCCCCTGTAGATGATGTACTGTCTTGGATAGGTGAGATTCATGAATATGAATCAAGCATCTCCAGCAAGATCCCTTCTAAATATCAACAGTGTGTTGGGGGCAGGTGTGCTGTAGGATTTGGGGGTCTGGATCCAGAGAGGCTAGGACTACTGAGGAAAGGCTGAGGCAGGAGTGTTCCCAGAGACCCCCGAGAGGCAGGATCCGATCCTGGCACCCACGGGGCTTATAATGCACTTTGAGGGAGAGTAAGTTAGAGGGACCTAGGCCGTCTGTGACCCCAAGGTTAGGAGAACAGTTGGACAGTGACACGACTCTCCAGTGTGGAGAGGATTCTCGTGTGCATGGGAGTTCCAAGTCAGGTGAAGACCCCAGAATTCAGGGGGCCTGAGTGGCTCCAAGCTTCCCTGCTCCCCCTTTCCCTCAGCCATGCAGCCTGTGGGTCATACCCCCACCTGACCTCCCTGCCCTTTGCCCCCCGCCAGCAACGCTCAGTATATCGTCAGTGGCTCTGACGATGGCTCCTTCTTCGTCTGGGAAAAGGAGACCACCAACCTGGTCCGCGTGCTGCAGGGCGACGAATCCATCGTCAACTGCCTGCAGCCACACCCCAGCTACTGCTTCCTGGCCACCAGTGGTATTGACCCTGTAGTGCGGCTCTGGAACCCCCGACCAGAGGTGAGGGGGCGGGCAGGGTGGCAAAAGCCAGGTTGGGAGAAAAGAAGGGGGGTACCCTCTGCGAGGCCTCCAGCTGAGCTCATGGGGGGGGCGGGAAGGGAAAGGAGTCACAGCCTCACGGGGCAAGGGGCTGCCAGGGGAGCTCTCTCCCCAGGGGTCCAAGCTGCGTCAGGGCAGGAGCCAGAGAGTTCTGAAAGCTCCAGATGAAGCGGGCAATTCTAGGGGCATATCCGTGAGCCAGGTGTGAAGGTGAGCCTCACACCCAGGAGGCAGTGACCCAGTAACTGGGACTGGGTAAGGGAGGGCGCCCACCCTGCCCCAACACCAGCTCCCGAGAACTCCCCCCCTACCCCGCGCCCTGTCCCTTGTGTCCCTCTGCGTCATGTCCCCCAGGAGCCCTGCAGAGGCCAGTGCCTCAGTCACACGGGCAGCGCCTAGGCTTTGGAGCCTGATGGGCCTCAGTTTGAATCCTGGTCCCTTCACTTAGGCCTGAGGGACTCAACCCAGGTTTTTATCTTCTGTATATTGGAATGGGCCTGACAGCACCACCTCAGAAGGTCGCTTTGAGGATTAAAGTAGTGATGCCTGTGATGTGTCTGGTCCACGGGGACACAGGGATGGTGTGGGCAGTCAGGTGGGCTGGCCTGAGGCCTCCCCTGCTCTCTGCCCACCTCCTCCCCCTTCCCAATTGCCTATACATTTTAAGACCTTTCCTTGAGTGGGGAGTGGCAACAAAAGAGTGGGGTGGGGGAGTTGTGTATACCCCCGGGGGGTATAGTATGTGTGCCCAGCAGGTCCTGGTGTGGGTCCACCCTCGCCTATGTCCGTGCATTCCCCCCGTCAGTTTCCAGTGTGGGGCCTACCAGAAGACACTCTGGTGTGTGTATTCCCCCCAGTATATATCCCACTGTGTATGACTATGTGCCCCCCTACCCCCAGTGTAATGCGTCATCCCCCTCACATGCATCCTGGTGTGTGTGTGTGTGTGTGTCTGTGCATCCGTCCATACATCCCAGGACACGTTGCCCTGCACCTGGGCACTCGCGGGTACACCCACGCACACCCCTCGTATGTACACACCCCTGCACACGTGTCACTCAGTCTGTGTGTGTGTTTCCGCTGCACACAGATCCCAGGAGTAAGTGTGCCTCCCCTGGCTCCCCTCCGCAGAGTGAAGACCTCACAGGCCGAGTTGTGGAGGACATGGAGGGCGCCTCCCAGGCCAACCAGCGGCGCATGAACGCGGACCCGTTGGAGGTGATGCTGCTCAACATGGGCTACCGGATCACAGGCCTGAGCAGTGGGGGTGCCGGGGCCTCTGACGACGAGGACAGCTCCGAGGGCCAGGTGCAGTGCCGGCCCAGCTAGACCCTCCTAGCCCCGGTCTCAGCCCCCGCTATCGGCTGGATCCTCTGCCCCGGGCAGGAGGTCAGGGGGTTCTGTTTTGGTTTGTCTTCCCCGTCCCCCCCCTTTTTTTTCCTATTTTTCCCCGTTACGTTTGTTAGTTTGGCATTGCGGGTGGGGATTGCTACAACGTGCTGGCTTTTGGACTTTTGGGCAGTTGCCCCTTGACTGGCCCCAGCCCTGAGCAGAGGAGCAGGAGGGGAAGCTCCTCCATCTCCCCCAACCCCCCTCCCCCCTCCACATCCCTGAGGGCTCTGGCCTGCCTCAGGTGGGGAGGCCAGGGCTGCCGCTGTTGCTGTCTCCGGGGACTGCCCCACCCTTGGGCTGGCAGCAGGAGTGGGGTGGAATTGGACAGGCTGGCCTTGGCCTGTTAGCATTCTTGCTCTTGACGGGCGAGGCTGGCTCCCTCCTGGTCTTCAGGGAATGTTCTAGAAAAGGACAGGGTGCACCCCATCCCTGCAGAGCCGCTGTGTCAGGGTGGAAACAGAAGTGAGGAGGGAGTCCTGGAGAGGGCACGGTCAGGCCACTGCCTCCTCGCAGCCCGGCGTCCTTTCCCTCTCCACCCCTCCCCCCCACCCCCCGCCCTGCTGGACCCCCCAAGCAAGGGTGCTGGGTCCTTACTGTGTGGCCCGCCCTCACCGGCCCTCTGGGGGCTCAGCCTCTCCCATGGGCCCTTGCAGTGGGCGGGGGCACCACACCATTCCCCGCCCACCCGTGCCAGCCCTTCTGCACTCTGGGGGGGCCCCACTCCTCCCTTGGGCGCTCTCCGGCCTCACTGTGACCTTTCTGCCAGAGCNCACCCCCCCCCACCCCTCTCTCCTAGCTTGGTAATGAAGTGTATTTATTGGTGAAGGAAACAGCTGCTGCTGCTTCTCCTGCTGCTGGGACTCGCTCCCCTGTCTCTTCTCCACGACCTTTCTCCAGCCGGGAGGGGAGAGCCGGAGCGCTGAGGCTGGGCCTGGGGCCCAAGGACTAGCAGGGGCCCCTTTGCTTTCCTGTGTTCCAGCCACCCGCCATTTCCTCCCTCCCTGCCTCCTGCCTGCCCAGCCTGGGCCCTGCCGTGTGGAGAGACACAGAAGCCTTACTGTCCTCTGGGGGCAGGAGCCGAGCCTTTTTGTTGCTCCGCTCCCAGGAGAGTGAGGGTGACGCAACTGATTAAAACCATTTTGTTCTAGGTGTGGCTGGTGGAATTTGTGGGTTGCCCATGGGTCTGGGGGAAAGGGAGAGGATGTCATCTCCGTAGCTCCATGACTCTTGAGTAACCACACCTCTGCCGGCTGGGATGAGTCTGGCCTTGGAGCATCTCTGTGGACCGTGGCCACCAGTCCAGCAGGACCGAGTGCAGAGCCTGGCCCTGATGGCATGATTTGCAGTTATCAGCTTTCATTATCTGGGCTGTCTTCTCATCTGTAAAGTAAGGAAGGTGAACTCTTAGTGGTTTTTCAGACTTTTAAAATCACAACCCAAACAAATATACATCTTACATTGTGACCCAAGATACCCATGCTAATTCGTATGTATATAATGAACATAAGTTTTACACAATAAGACTAAGCCTTGCTACATGCAGTGTTCTCTAATCACCATTCTATTTTATGAAGGAGGAAAAAAAAAATGCTGTCTATAACCCACTAAATTGATTTCAAAATCTGTTTTCTTGATGGGCCCTAGATTAGAGGATTTCTTAGACCAGAGGTTCCCAAACTTTCTCAGCTCACTGAACCATCAGTGCCTCAGTAGTTTTTATCTGGACCCCCTAAGCCAAAAGAAATACCTAACATTTCAACATGTCAATTAAGCCAAGATGACTTAAGAATTTATGTCCTGGACTTCCTTGGTGGTCCAGTGGTTAAGAATCCGCCTGCCAATGCAGGGGACCTGGGTTCATTCCCTCTTCCGGGAAGATCCCACATGGATCCCTGGTCTGGGAAGATCCCACAGGCCACGGAGCAGCTAAGCCCATGCACTACTACTGAGCCCAACAAGCCACAACTGCTGAAGCCTGTGTGCCTAGAGCCTGTGCTCCACAAGAGAAGCCCCCGAGATGAGAACCCCGTGCAACCAAAAATAATAATCTTTTAAAAAAATTTTCATCCTACCAAGTTAGTCTTTAAAGAATACACAAAAGAAAAAAAAATTGAAAAAAAATACATATCAGAAGAAACTCTATTTCCTTCTTAAAGACTATAGTAACTAATGGAATCCGTGTGCTTGTTAGGTACTGTAAAACTTGTCAGACTTTCTAATCAGACTGGACACCACCACCCTCATTTTGTGTTCCACAGTGACTTTCATTTACTTTGTATCTCAGCAAGCTCTAAAAACTCAGCTTCTGAAAGACGACGTAATCAAAGGAATGCCGTGGAGTCTAAGGATAAAAGTGAGCTACCCTGTGCTTGTCCTCGCGGTAGCCAACAGATGCTAAGTAACTCAGAATTTAAAATACCCTTCTGTGCTCCTGTGACTTGACTGCGGCACCCTAAGGTGTCTTGATGCACAGTTTGGGAACTGTGGTTCAGTACTGTAGGAACAATAGTTTCACTAGTGAGATTTGGTGATTATTCTGTTTGTACATTTGGAAAGAACCAGGCTGAGGCCAGCAGGGTATACTCAGTTTAGTACAGGAGACAGAAAGGGAAGAGATTCTGTCAGAAGCGCAATAGGTGATGTCATGAAGCAGGTGCTCATCATTCCTCTGTGTCCCCAAACTGACACTGCTTTAGGATGTTTGCAGACCATGCAGGGAAGGGGTGATATACCAGACTGAGGGATTAGGGCAGAGTCCCAGGTGCCCTCGTGGAGCCTGAGGGATTCAGTTCAGTCGCATGGTAGAGGATGGAGTGGCCCATGGACTTCAGGGGCAGCCAAACTGTGGAGGACTCCCTGTGCTTGATGAGGGATTGTAGGCTTGGTCCTGCGAGCAGGGATTAGCCATTGGAAGACTTCTTCAGGAGCTCTATTTCATTTGGAATTGGTACATTTTTTTTTAATAGACTTTTTTTTTAGAGCAGTTTAAGGCTTACAGAAAGTTAAAAAGATAATACAAAGTCCCATATACCCCCTCTCTCCCTGGCTCCATTTCCCCTTATTAACATCTTGCATCAGTGTACCTTTGTTACAATTAATGAACCAGTATTGATACATCATTAATAATTAAGGTCTGTAGCTTACATTGAGGTTCACTCTTTGTATTGTACAGTTTTATGGGTTTTGACATATGCATAATGTTGTGTATCCACTGTGGAAAATAGTTGCACTGCCATGAAAATCCCCTGTGCGCCACCTATTCAGTCCTTAGCAGCACAAAAAGAGGAAAAAAGTAAGTGCTAAGTACTTGTATACTTAGTACCTACTAAGTACCAGAAAAATATACACAAGATATTTATGAGGAAAACTATAAAACTGTGATGAGAGAAAACAAGAGAAATCAGAGTATGTGAAGAGATATTCCATGCTCATGGATAGGAAGCCTCTATTATTAATAAAGATGTCATTTCTTCCCAACTTGGGCAATGAAATCTCAACCAAAATCCCAGCAAATTATTTCCTGACTATCCACAGGCTTATTCTAACGTTTGTATGGAGAAACAAAAGACCCAGAATAGTCAACACAGATTACAAAGAGAAAGAACAAAGTCAGAGGACTGACACTACCCAACCTCAAGACTTATCATAAAGCTACAATAACCAAGACAGTTTGGCATTTGCGAAGGAAAAGACAAATCAGTGGAATGATCTAGGGATCCCAAAAGTAGATCCACACAAATTTAGTCAACTGATCTCTGACAAAAGAGCAGAATCAACTCAATGGAGAAAGGAAAGCAACTTTTGCAACAAATGGTGCTGGAACAACTGGATATCTCCATGTGTGGCTGTGTGCTGAGTCGCTTCAGTCCTCTCTGACTCTGCAACCCCATGGACTGTAGCCTACCAGGCTCCTCTGTCCATGGGATTCTCCAGGTAACAACACTGGAGTGGGTTGCCATGCCCTCCTCAAGGGATCTTCCCCTCCTAGGGATCAAACTCACATCTCTTGCATAGCCTGCAAGAGATGGGTGGTTCTTTACCACTAGAGCCACCTGGGAAGCCCAGACATCTACATGCCCCACCCCATCCCCCCAAAAAAGGATCTAAACACTGGGTACACTGTCCACAAAAATTAACTCATAATTGATCATAGGACTAAACGTAAAACAAATCCATAAAACTCAGAAGACCACATAGGAGAAGATCTGAGTTTGGCAACAGGTATTTAGATACAACATCGAAAGCACAACCCATGAAAGAAAAAATTGATAGACTGGACTTTATCAAAACTCCTGCTCTATGAAATCACTGTTAAGAGAATGAAAAAGACAAGCCAACAATTAAGAGAGAAGAATTTTTCCAACTCAACAATATGAAACAAGCACCCCAAATTAAAAATGGGCAAAATATCTGAATAGACACCTCGCCAAGGAGGATATACAGGTGACTAGTAAGCACACAGGAGAAGGCAATGGCAGCCCACTCCAGTACTCTTGCCTGGAAAATCCCATGGATGGAGGAGCCTGGTAGGCTGCAATCCATGGGGTCTGTAAGAGTTGGACATGACTGAGAGACTTCCCTTTCACTTTTCACTTTCACGCATTGGAGAAGGAAATGGCAACCCACTCCAGTGTTCTTGCCTGGAGAATCCCAGGGACGGGGGAGCCTGGTGGGCTGCCGTCTATGGGGCCGCACAGGGTCGGACACGACTGAAGCGACAGCAGCAGCAGCAGACCTGTTGTCCAAGTAGATGGATTGGTGTAAAGTAGTCCACAGTTGAGGACAGCTCATCTGAATCCTTTCTGCACTGCTTTCCAAACCTCGTGGGAGCTGGTCCTTTTCTGTCCCTCCAGGATATCTTCCGCTTCCTTTCTCTGTGTTACCCCTCACCTTCTCTCATACTTTTCTCTGCATCCAGTCTTACTCAGCCTCTCCTAGAGGAAAAGCCCTGCAAATCTGAGTCTGGCTCTTTGAATCTTTGTTTTCCCCTTTGGTATAGTCTGGTGGTAAGTATGGAAGGAGGGAAATAACACTTGGGGAACAAATACGAGAAAATCTGGAGAGAAATGCACAGGGAACAGCTAATTTAGTATTTTGAGATAGGACCATCCTGCCTTACTTCTTTATTTTGCCATTGCTTGACTTATCAACTTTAGACATAATTTACTGATTTCCCTCTATGAACAGGGGGGATTTCACTCATCCTTTCTCCCTACCTTTCTTCTCCTTCCCTTTCCAAAGTTTGATGGCTGTGTTCATATTTCATTTCTTCTGCTAGTTTTCTTTTGACTCCTGTTGTTTAGTTGCTAAATCATGTCTGACTGTTTATGACCTTATGAACTGAGCCTGCCAGGCTCCTCTGTTCATGAGATTTTCCAGACAAGAATACTGGAGTGAGTTGCCATTTCCTTCTCCAAGGGATCTTCCTGACTCAGGGTTNTTGAGTGCAGCACTTTCACAGCATCATCTTTTAGGATTTGAAATAGCTCAACTGGAATTCCATCACCTCCACTAGCTTTGTTCATAGTGATGCTTCCTAAGGTCCACTTGACTTTACATTACAGGATGTCTGGCTCTAGGTGAGTGATCACACCATTGAGATTATCTGGGTCATGAAGATCTTTTTTGTACAGTTCTTCTATGTCACTATGTCACTAGGGAATTACAAATTAAACCAACAATGAGATACCACACCACACCGATTAGGATGACAACATCAAATGCTGACAAGGATGTGAAGCAACAGGAACTCATTCACTGCT